TTCGTTTTTCATAGACTCACGTCATTATTAATACAATTTAACAATTAAAAAATTACTAATTAATTAGTTATTTTTATTTTACTTAAATAAATAATTACCCATTTTTTAATTTAAAATTAATTAAATAATTTTTTATAATTTAATAAAAAATATTTTCATCTGTTTATGCTATTTGTCTTCTAGTTTGGATAGTCCTGAACTCTAGGGGGTAAATTTTTTACTGATTTTAAAGTCAAAAAATTTCCAGGACTAATATTTTATTGAGATATTTTGATTAATTTTTTATTAATATTTTTTTTTGCTGCATTAGAATTGAGGATTATTGACAAATAAAACGTTTGTTTTGATAAAAAAAATCGATTAATTGTTTAAAACTTTTCTCTCCATTTAAACCAATGATAATTTATCACAACACTAGGTTTTTTAATATTTATTATAAAACAGTTCTTCAAATTTTCTTTAAATTTTTAGGCTTTATGGTACTGGTGTTAAAAAAATAAAAAATTAATAATAATTTTAATCGATCTAAGTACCTTTCATTAAAAACAAAAAAAAATAAATAAATTTTTTGACTCCATTCATTCAAAATAATTTTCATTAAAAATAATTAAAACAAAAATTTCTATAAATCCAATATTAAAATAAAAAATGCTAGTTTATTATTTTCTTTACACTACAAACAAAGCAGCAACTTAATTGAATTCCTCAATGAAAATTAATAATGGAATATAGAGACAAAAATAATTTTATGAAATAATAGCTTATCAATTACTCGCAGCATTCTATAATAATAGTAGGTTGAATAAAAAAATGAAGAAAAAAAAAACAATGATCTACATATGACAAAGTGGATTAAAAGATATATGTATAAATGATAACAAACGAGTGTAAAGAATGATTGATAATAAGATGAAACATAGAGTGCATAGTAACTAGAGATAGATGCAGTAATATGCGGAGCATACTTGTATATGTCACAAAGTTCTATCCTCTTCGTCACGTGTAGGACGGTGACAATGCACCGGTGGCCTCGCGCCCGATACGCTTCTAGCATGTGCTAGTATATTCCATATATTCTCTGATGAATCTCCTGATCTGAACCTACATTTAATTATAGATTCCAACAGACGTCACTTAATTCCTAGACATTATTCACTCTAACATTCATCATTTTTTTTTTTTAATCTATTAATGAGCTAAATAAATAATAACTTGGAAACTGTTATGGAGTGAAGGTTATCATAAACAGCGTCAATTGATAGGAAGATGCTTTTTATATTTTATAGAAAATGGTTTCAATGTTCTAAGAAAACCTTGAAAGGTTTAATTAGTTGATAAAATTGAAATAGTTAATTTATTTGTAATTATTATATAATTCAATAAAATTTCTTTATTCATCATTTACTATTCATCAACATGATTAAATCATTTGGTGGATCAGAGTAATTCGTTTTGGTGCTAGCTAAATGTTTTTGGAGTAAATAATTCGAGAAAAGAAAATTTAATAAAAAATGCCTCCATAGACTTGTTAACTTCCATGAATAAATGATTCTGATTATAAAGATCTAAGGGATGTTTTGTGAGCTAAATGTTTTAATATAAACAATTTATATTTTCAATCTTTAAAAACATGTGATATGATAGCTCCAAAATAAATCATCTGTTATTGTCATCTGTTCCATTAATTCCATGGGAATTAAAGGATCAAATCAAATAGTCTGATGAAAATAATATTATTTATTTTTCATTTACTTTAAATATGATATATTTCATTAAATCCTCCAATTATTTGTAGACCACTACAATAAAATAATAATAATTATAGAATATTGAATAACCGGTCAATGGCCATTGAACATAAGTATCATGTCAATGCATTGATTTTTAATTAAATACAAAAAATTAACAAAAATGTCATTGCTATTTGATGATAAAAAACACAATAAAAATGAAATAAAATTAACTAGTTATTTATAAAATATCCAACAAATGATGTTGGAAAGTTTTTTTTAGATAAATTAGTATCGAAGATCTGAAAAGTAACAAAATTTATTTGCAATGAAACGACCATTTCTCATTGGATAAATAAACTTGTAACTTTCCAAAATCGTCTTAAAAGAAGCTTTTATAGCATTAAACCACTTGGCGAGATAATCCCAAGTCATCAAAACAATGTTTACTTTCTCTAAACTACATTTATGGGATTAATAATGGAGTATTAATTGACAAAAGATAACATAATGACCAATTAATTGAAACCAATTAAACCCTAAATTTAATGAAATTGAAATGATCCTCCTAGAAACTTCTACCATTGATGAATCTCAGTAATAAACAATAAAGCATAACTTTTGCTAACAATCCAGAGTGTGGAATATAAATGAATCGTAATTCAATGTGCATGGTGTCATATATAGATAGGGTGATTTAAAATTCAGCGGACAAATGTATTTTTTTCTCTCATTGCATATATCGCGTAACCAACATTTATAGGCGATCTAATCATCACATAAATAATTTAACAGAAAGACAGTTATAGAGAAAAAGAAAATGTTGGGCTACGTAATGATGATTTTTGTTGGAAAATACCTGATGGTATGCGAGGAAGTAGAAGAAGGTGGATATATAGATGGTGTGATAGAGAATATCTAGAAGGTTAACAAAATCAATACGCGAGTGGGTGGGCAAGGAGGCTGAACGACGACGCTCGGGACAACGCTAGCTACGAAGAGCTAGGTCGGCCACTGACCTTTATTCAGGTCAACTGCATCATCATTCCCATTTCCACGCGTCTACTGACAAGTGTATGCACATACATACTTGATCTATTTTCACATTTCATTTTCACTGAATAGACATTGGATACCTCGAGGTGAGCTTTCCAGCCCCAACTCTATAGGGTCGACCGAGACTTGTTCCCAGGACCATTAGATCGTGCTATTTCTGGGGAGAATCAAGTGGGCATGCGTGCGTAGACTCGAGGATTTCCTGGATTTTACCTAGACCAACGACCAAATCGATGCGCCATGCATTCATTTCCAAGAATGAATTTGGCATCGAGAAGACTTGCTTCTGACTAATTCTATACGCAGAAAATCTTACTCAAAACTCATATATTGATGGTTAATTTTCTTGCTTTCATTTGGGAAGTGTCCAAGTTGTTGGATGAATCAATAAATTATAAATAATTTTCCAAAAATCTATAATATGCCATTTTTTAAATTCCTTTTTGAAATAAATTAAAAATATTTCAATATTAAATTAAAAATTGAATGACATTAAATTATTCGAGATTTTTCGATTTGACTTCAAATCAAAATTATTTCACAACTGAATTTTTTATAACCCCTATAAAGTTTTAATTTGAATAATGTAATACAATTGTTTTGCAGAATTTAAATTTTTTATGTATATGATCCTATATAAATAAATGTAAATATTGCATATGTTACAACTCAGTTCAAAAACCTTACATGATAAAAAGGAGAGATTTTAAATCAGTGTCATTCAATTACTTCGATTCAGTTACAAATTCACTTTCATAGCCCGTAGAACCACACTGCAATACGATCAAGATTGCATTTATACATGCTGTGTTCAATATATATTACTGACGAGATAATTTTAAAAACAGCAGATAAATAATAAATCATTGATCAGATATTAAATAAACACATTTTAACAAAATAAAATTTAATACTCCAACTAACTACTTGATTGCCAAAAATAAATGATGATATACTTAATAAATAAAATAATATTTATTAATTAAATAAATTAAAAAGAGAAATCTGTTAAAAAGTTAGTATGTTTAATTAAAAATGGCGAAGCATCTTCAATGAACTTATTTATTTTCCTTATTAACATTCAAAATGAATTTATCAACCATAGTCATTGTTGATTTCATACTTCACAAGAGAGTCTATCCTCAGATCATTAATCTTCATCATCACCTCTATTACTTCTATCCACTTAATTTGTTCTTCATGAGACAACCGTTATTAAGGCTACTTTATTGTACTCATTCGTAAATAGATGTATTTATAGATTGTATATCTATCAATGTTACAGTATTCGAACAGTTAAGTACTTGATAAAATTCCCCAAAAAAGATATCAATAAATAAAAAGACTTCTGAATTTCTTTCAAACTAAAATGGTATAATCAAAATTACTATGTATCGTTCACAATCATTGTTACGGCTACTCTCAGTGATATGTATCTTTAATCGTACATTTCGATTTGTATTTTTTATGATAATGTAAAAGAGATATGTATAAGAATGGCGTATTTCGCATTTAGAATGATAAATTATTTATAAGATAACAGTCGTGTTGAAAAGTCGATAAAATTCCAGCTAAATTAATTTTCGACCATTCTAGTTGTCTATGACACAATGGTTGATTATATAAATAATGAAAGAAATTTGAAGAGTTATAGAAAATAAACCAAAAAGTCTCAAAAAAATGATCAAGAATTTATGCAAAATGTAAACAAGTAATTGTAAAATAAATATTTGTTATCAAAAAACAAGAGGTTTTAATGGGCTGATATTAATCTTTGTTTGAGAATAGATAATATATAATAGAAAATTAATATTTAGGATAAGATTAGCAAGTAATTGAGCAAATAAAAATAATATCATATTTTTCTTAATAATATTAAATTTTCAAAAAGTTACTATTATACAAATAAAGTTATTGATTAAATGAATAATTGCGTAGAAAAATATTAGAGACACGCAACAATTGAGACTTGAAGACTTCAGGTTAATATTTCCCTTTAATTTTCAAGTTAATTTTTGTGCAAGAATGTAAATAAAATGACTGTGCAATCATTCAAAAAATTTAAATTGGTAACCGCAAAAGCTTACGTAATTCATTAAATATTAATTTCAGCGATAAAGATCATATGGTCCATTAATATATTTCCATAGCAATTCATAATATGAAATTCGTTTTTTTTTTCATCATCATTTACAAGTGGTAAAAAAACCTTACCTCATCGGCTGAATACAGTCGGCATCGGTTTCATCTGTAATAAAAAACATGATAATTAATGCCGAATGACCAAAAGGTACGAAATGACAATTTTCACTGATGCAAGATCGATTATAGCTACACACGCGCACATTTACCTCGTTTGTAATCGGTGAGCGAGCAGCTGGTTGTCGCGACGACACAGTAGTCGTCTTACAACTGCTCCCACTCCAACTATCACCTCTACAAGCCCGTTTAATTCACTTATTACACACGTCGTCATACACTTGGGTTGTTGAAGACTGTGAAGTTCACCATATCACAAGATTTTATGGTACAGATGCTAATCTATTGGACGCCTGCATTTGAGTTGTCAAGTACCATTATGTCATCCATTAGCATTTTCCACAACTTCGATTCGATCAGCGCACTTCAATGTTGTCTAGTAAACCACTTCATTCACTTTTATATAATAATTTTCAGCAATATTCTAATAAGTTCCCAGTAATATCGCCATTATCACGTTATCTACTTCTTGATACTGCGCACAAGATCATTACCAACACCATACCAGCTGTGAAAAGAGTCCAACACACATAATGATAACTTTGATTATTGAAAAGCCTCTCGATAAGTGCAAATAAATTTTGCAACGACTGGAGAAACGAGTCTCCAGTACTGCGACTATTTCCACAACACTCGAAAGACATTGAGACTAAAGTTCATTTATATCTTTTCCCACCAGTGAGATAATTAATTGGTTAAACAAGCAAAATTTCAAATAGCCGATGTCTGCACAGGATTTTGTGTGTCTTGGTGTACTAATCTTTTGTTTATCTTTGCTTCAAGTCAAGAGGCAAAACAAGTAGCATTTAACGTTACTCACTACTTTAGTAATTATCCATTGAAGTAATTAACTGTCTAACAGTAAATTTAACTATGTTTTCAAGGGATGAAAATTGTTTGAATATTATTTCATCGTATTTTATTAATTATTCCAAGTGAATTGATGACAAAATTTATGAATCCTTATGGTATTTACAAATATCTAGTTTATTAATAGTCAATTATTAATTAATTATGTTACTTAAATGTAAAATTGTATAAATTAATTATTTAATATATATTTTATTTCTTTTCTTCATTGAGATTATATTTAGTTTTTAATTTATCTATTTCTTCCATCTTTTTATCAACATCCACCCTTTTAAAGGCTTTATTGCTCTGGTAATATAATACTACTAAATATCTGTTGCATACGTTGAATCCGCTCAAGTGGTCACATGCATTTTTTGCATCAAATATGTCCTCGTAAACCACAAATGCAGTTCCTCGAGTCTCCGCTGTGTTTCCACTAAGATTAATAACAAAAATATTATTAATAATTTCGAAAATACCATTATAAATTTTAATACATAAGAAATAAATTTTATTTTGTTATATTTTTAAAGAAGTATAAGTAATAGTAGTGAAATACTTATCGTGTATTTTAGTAAGTGTTCAAGAAAAAATGATCTGAATGACAAAACAATTGTTAGAAAACAGAAAATACGCGTTTTTAGGAAAATAAGTTCTGGGAACGAAGGACAGACGAGCAATTATGCTCATCTTGAAAATAATGGGAAATTAATTTTAATTATGAAATTAAAATGAATAATTTCAAGTTACTAACTTTAGTTGGAACTTTAAATTCTATTTTACATAACGAAAAGATAGAAGCTCCATAATTGAAATCATCAAGCAAAAAAGTAGTAGTAGTTGAAATTAGATGGAATATTAAGTTGGTTGTCGCCATTTGTTAGATATAGATGATTTTTATGCTTAAAGTTGGTGAAAACAATAAGAAATGTTTGAAATTAAGATTAATATCTAGAAAAATTGACATTACTTACACTCTGATTTGTCTGATAGCTCCGTATTTGCCAAAAATATCATACATCTCTTCAGCCGTAATTTTATACGGCAAATTCCGTATGTAAAGCACGCGATTTACTTCTGGAGGTAGCCTCACCTAAAAATGAAATTCATGTTTTTTAATTACATTCTACAATAATTACTTAACATAAGAATGAATTAGATAAATGTTTATTCATGGTCAAAGCACAGTGAAGGTTAACTTTGAATTCAGTCCTGCTTCAAAGTATTATTTAATATCTATTATTAAATTACTTACATTGGCTCGTCGTTGTAACATTGCCATCGTCATTTTGGATGTTAGTTTTTATATTTCTCTATTATTAAAAGACGAAAAATTAATCAAAGAATAATTTTATATCGGAAAGTGAAATGTTTGTTTTCGTCAGTAATGGCTTCCTTCAACACAATACCAGAGACCTCCAGTGGCCGTTAGAGGAAATAAAAAACGAAACTACTTCCTAGATGGCAGTACATGCTAAAGCCTATTTTCATAACCAAACAATTTAAAGGTTAGAAAATGTAAAAAAAATTGTCACTCCTTTTCCGTCATTCAAAGAGAGTTCATTTTATATTATTTTCACCAATTTTAATAAATTATTTTTTTAATATTTATTTAATATACTTTTAAGTTTTACAAATACATAATTGCAATAATGGAACTCATCGAAAAAGCTGCAGGACTTATTTTTACAAAAGAATGCCAAAAACAATTCTTTACTCATTTTAATTTCTTTCATGGTACGTAATTGAATTGTGTTTATATATTTTTCATTATTTCAAATCTATATTATCACAATATTTTTTTCAGTGGAATGTTTGAAATCTAGTTTGAGCAAAGTACTTGGTCTTGGAATTGTAGGAGGATCAATGATGGGTAATTTTGCTATTCTAAGAGAATTATAAATTATTCTAAGAGAATAAATAATATATTTGGGTGTTCAATGTTGAATTATATTTAAACAATAGCATAATGTTGTCTTGTTTTAATTTCAGTTAAAATTCCACAAGTTATTAAGATATACCAAAGCAAAAGTAGTGAAGGAATTAATTTATTAAGTGTTTTATTAGACTTGTTCGTTATCACAGCCATGGCATCATACAGTTTTGTGAATGGGTTCCCATTTAGGTAATTAAATTTATTGAATTCGATTGATCCTAATTTTATCGTTTTATTTTATCACACCTCTGAGAATTAAATTAAAAAAAAAAGATTAATTTTACTTTATCTTCTATTCATAGAAAGAATTCAAAGAACTTATCGTTAAAAAATAAAAGTTTGGTAATTTCTTGTCCTTGTTTTTTACCATTTTCTTTTATTGACTCATGAACGAACTTGCAATCTAACAAATAATTATTTTAGACATGAGCTCACTTATAATACTAAGGGTTTTTGCGATTACATAAACCAACTTTTTTTGATAATAAAAATACGAATTACTATAAAGTAATATTTTATTACCAGCACTGATAATACAAATTTTTGAAATAAATTAATAATATTATCATAATTGTTAATATTCAATTTATTACTTGTTTAATCATAAATTAATTTTTTTAGTGCGTGGGGTGATTCTGTTTTCTTAGGCATACAGACACTGGCAATTGCATTGCTATGTTTACATTACACAGGCCAAACAGGTAAAGCTACAGCATTTCTCTCTGGATATTTGGCAGTTATTTTTGCTGTGGTTATCGGTATGGCTCCAACGAATTTTCTATGGTTGTGTCAAACTGTCAATATTCCAATAATTTTACTAAGCAAGGTAAGAATTTTTTGTCTACATAATCAATCAGTTTCTCATAAGTGCAATTGAAAAAGACATTAATTAAAGTTTCTTTACAATTTTTTCAGTTTGCTCAAGCTTACACCAATTATCAAAATTCCAGTACTGGACAGTTGTCAGCTATAACATGTCTAATGCTCTTATTTGGATCATTAGCACGAATATTCACATCTATTCAAGAAACTGGAGATTTGAGTATGATTGTAACATATTTATGTTCATCGTCTGCTAATGCACTTATTGCAGGCCAATTGATATATTATTGGAATGGAGATAAGAAATTAAAACGAGAAAAAGAAAATTAATAACTGTGCAATAATAAATTTGTTACGAATCTAAGCATTTAATTAAATTGACACATCTTCTAAAATGTCTTGAAGAATTTAGGAATAGACTAATTTACTACTGAGGTGTATGCATTTGTTAAATAAACTATTAAATTTGTTAATCTATGTACATAAATAAACTTTTATTAAAAAGATAATTTTTTTTTTAGTAAATAATTAAATGATTAATAGTTTAGCTAAATGACAATGTTTTTACAAATACATTAATCATTTATAATAACTTCATAATTATAAAATAACTATTTGAGGAAAATTTTTGAAGGTCAACGTGCTTATCAATTTACGTCATCTATACCATCATATATTCTAAAAGCTAACAGGTATCTTGAGTGTATGTAATAAGTGATAAAATTGTTGATTTAGCTTGAAATGGATTTCAAATGAATAATCTTTCAAATTGATTTGTTATCGATCTAAAACATTGAAAAAAGTAGTCCTAGCTCTCCAACAAGTGGTGGTGATGCGTAGTAGGAAGAATAAACCTACGCGCAAGTACTACATTCGTAAATCAACTCTGCGCATGTCATGGCCTGGGACACCGGTTCGGCGCCATTTATCGCAAGTCGTTCATAGTGTAACGATAAAATGCCGCGTTAAGTAGCTCTAATATCTACAGAAAATATAATTAATTGCATCATCATAGCATTGAAGATTAATAAGACAAATTCAGGTGAGTAGCGAAGTGAAATTGAGTTGGAAGCAAGGCATTTTAAACAGTAAAAGATTGATTATTTTGGACAAAGCACAAAGTAGCATCGTCTTTTATTTCATCACCGTCGACCATTTTGTTGAGTCGTATAATCGATATCGCGTTACATATTCGTAGTGAAAAAAAACAAGTAAAAGGCAGTATTTTGCCATTTATGACAATTTTATTAGCACGATTGAAGAAAAGTGGATTTTTTTTGGAAAAGAAGTGACTGATTCAACAAATTCAGAATAAAAATATTTCACAAAAACAAGCTCTATTAAGCTGATACAGTAACCTTTATTTGAGTGGTAATGCACGTTTTTGAAAAGTTTTCAAGCAATCCTGGATTTGGATCCCAATTTATTTGATTGGAAAGAATATTTGTCAAGAAAAAAGCAAAAAAAAAAACGAAATTGGGTTTGTGTAGGCTTGCAGATTAGGTTGATACTTGGGCTGAACCAAGGATGGATTCAATGGATCCACGTCTGGTGGCCCAGACGTTAAATTACCATGGACAACAGCTTCAGAAAGTTTGGGAAAGCGAAAGGAATGAAAATGAACTTGCCATGCTCAACCTTAAAGATCCCAGCTTCGAAATTTATCAACAACGGCAAAAGACTCTTAGGTATTTCTCATTTATTCACTTTATTGATTAACAATACTTTATAGTCCTAGATGCAATTATCTTAAAGTGCATACTATTGTTCTAATTTTTTCTATTGATTACAAAGTAGTGAATGATACCAGCATTCCCCATTAGATACTATCTGTTTCTAGAATTTTTGATATATTTGTAATAAGTCAAATGGTAAAATGATACTAATTGATTCATGATGAATTATAGCTTTGGAGATAGAGGAAAAAGGCTCAAACTACAACAATTTATTGCTAAAAAAGCAGATTCTCTTTATGATAAATCGAATTTGGATAAAACTATTGAGCCCATCAAGCAGGAACTTGGAGATGAAGGTATGTGTACATTATCCATAGCAGTGCAAATAATTATTTATCAGCCTCGCTCAACGGAAATTGCGTAAGATAACACTCTTGACTAGTTCACATTTAAAGTATTTTAAGTACACTATTTAACTAACTTACGAGCTATTTTAGCAATGACATACATTTTTCGAAATGTTATAAATTATTGATAATTATCGATATTTACTTATTTACCTATTATTAATATTTATAAGATTAGATATTAAAACATAGTTTAGATGATTATCATTTCATATTTTCCATCAACTTGGTTTCATGATAAAACATTGATTACGTGGCAGGTAGTCTTATGATTTTCTACATTAAATAAATAATTATAAACAAATACAAAAATTAATCAATTTTTAATTAGGTATTTAGTTTAATTTTTGTTTATCCATGAACGGTATCGAATGTAATTGAAGAAAAAAAATGATCAAAGTCATAAAAATTGTTGATAAAAAGACTCATGAATAATATCAATGACTTTCATGTGACATTGTGCAATATTTTTTAATTATTTGTATTAAATATTATAATAGGAAATGGAATATCAATTACTAAAGGAAATGTTATTGATCAAACAATAGCCTATTCAAAGGGGGTATAGTTGATTTGCGTGCAAATAAATTTCCTGAAAGAAGCAAACAGATGAATCATTAAAATTATTCGGTTTATAGTTACCTTAGTAACCATTGAATGTCATGTAATTAATGCTTATTATAAGGTTATAACTACTCTGATATGAAATGGCAATATTTGATGAATTAATATCGAGAACCTTATCTAGTCTTTAGATGGTATAGATAATTATTGACCATGTTACAATATGACGCTTATTCTCGAGCGAATTGATACAATGACAAGCTTATATGAAAAAATGACGGTTTTTAATAAAAACTACGAGGCTAATAGATAGATTAAGTAGATTAATTGTATTTATAATTCAGGAGTATTTCACATTTTTATAATAATATAATTTTTACAGAGTTTTATGCGACAATGCCAGGAATCGATTCTTTTGTTACTATGGAAAAGTCTCAACGCATCAGGAACTTCTTAGAGGTAATTATTTTTGTGTTCTTTGTAAAAGACATTTACAAATAATAAAAAAACTCACGTTTCAATTCTCAATTTCAGAGTTTAATTACTGGTGACGTTATTTTTGCACAAGTAATGGGCAAAAGTGCGACAGGATTACTTTTGAAAGTTCTTTGTAATTGCAGTGATTGCCCTAGAGTCGTTAATGATT